GACAGAATTACCCAGTGCTATGCCATTGTTTTCATAAAAAATAATGTTGACAGAAGAGGAAATGGGGAAAGCTCTTAAGAAAGTTTTAGGTGGCTCTTACAAAAAGCGGTTTTAATTTAGCCCAAGAATGACTGTTTCGTCGTCCTTCCTTCAGCACAAACACCGACCAGCTGATGTCTTCCCTCCCCCACTCTAGGGCTGCCTACCCAGCAGGCTGTGCTAATCCTCCCCTGTACTCCTTACATCTCCTGCAGTTAGCCTAAAGGCTAGTTCCGTCCAGCAGTAGCTTCTCCTGGCTCTGTCTTGATGCAGGCTTCTGTTGTCCTACTCACAGCCAGCCGTAGCTCCTCTAACCCACCTTCAGTATTCAGTCTGCCTTCCAGACTGATCCGATCTTCCACCGGTCTATAAGTAGCCCCTGTCAGCTGTGGCCTCTCTACACTCTTGCCTGTCGCTGCCAGCGGGGGAGAGGCTAGAGCTGACTTTTTCATTGTACTTACTCACTCTACTCCTGAGCCAGCATGGCAAACTGCTGCGTTCTCTCCCGTTCTGGCACGCCGTTTCCCCAGCAGGCTCCTCCAATCTCCCGCTGTGGTTCCTTAGCTCCAGAGAGGAGAATGGCTGGTGACCTATTTTGGTTTCTGGTGCTCTCTGTCAGTTATCTTGTAGTGATTTCCTGCTGCTCCGGTCTGAGCTCCAAAATAACATCCCACCGAACCTCTATCGTCCAGGAGAATCAGGTAAACCCAGAACGTCTTCGCCAATGGCTTTGTATGGCTTAAAAAAATAAAATAAAATAAAATCCATGTTTTCGGTGAAATTGCCTTTCTCTTCACAACCCCTACCCCTTATGTACACTAGTCCTGCATGCAGGGAGGAATTGGGACACCACTACCCTAACATGAGCATGCAAAATTTAGTAGGGCTAGGAGGTGTACTGGGATTGGGCCTTAGTCTTAAAACCAGGTGCGAATACACTCAAGGGCACATAGCATGGACAAAAACAACAGCACCAAGGGACATGGGTTTGGTCCACTTCCAATTGAATTCTTGTCTGGTCTATAACAACCCATCATAGCTGTGCTTAGCGAAGTTGCAGCCGAGATCATGCTGTGCTCCTCCTTTGGCTTGTAGGACGTTCTTTTGTGTTTTACACACACATAAAAAAAGTCTCTAAACCTGCTTTGAATGAGCTACTCTTCTCACAATGACACTGTAGCACAAACAAGCAGAACAAAAGGTGTAAAATGCTGGAATAGTGTGGGTTTCCTCCATTTCCAGGTCTGTGCACTGTGCACACCCGAGCCTTACCCCTCCCCCACTCTCCTCCCACTCGGTTGTAGCTCAAACCATGCAGGGTTCTAAGATCTCTGAATCTGACGAGTATTATCTTGCCCAGAGTCCCTATGAGATCTATTTGGTTGGATGGACTCGCCTGATCCCACCACCTTTGTCCTAGCGCCACGCCCTTTTTCAGTTAACAAGACAGGCAATCTCGTAGCCTAAAGTAACGTTTCCTTCTGATTGTACCCAGTAAACAGTGGCTCTTAACATCCTACACCAGGACCTGTTACTTTGATCCGATAGGGTTTTAGTGACTAAAAAACCCCAAGGGTGTTAACTTAAGTTTTGATACAATAATTTCATGTTCAAGTCTAGTTTATAACCATCAAGAAATGTATAAAAAGGTGACTCAATAAATCTAAAATCTGCTAGAATTCTGTATGCTTCTTTAATTAGAACAGGGGTGAGCAACTCCAGTCCTTGAGGTCTGGTTTCCAGCAACATTTAGATGGTTCCTTTGTCCAACACACCTGAATCAAATGGGGGAGGGGGGGAGGGGGTTCCGTTCGTTTCAAATAGAATGTTTTCTAAAGGCTTTGTTGGGCTACTGTATAAGAGCCACAAACTCAACGCTACTTGCTGAACTTTTTTGGAATGACTACGACCTGGATGGATGACGGAGAATCTTAACCAGCATAATTGATTAGAATGAGTTTAGCAATGAATTGCTAACAGAAATATCATGGAAATTTAAAAGCCAAATAAAAAAATACATAAAAATACTAAGGCTTTGTAAATATGAATACAAAGGTCTATAGGAAAGGTTTTGGATCTTTTGAAGGCAGACATTTTTACGGCAGATGAGAGTCTAAGGCAGCACTATGGTTGTTCTTACATGTTCAGATGGCGTTGTTAGGGGAGAGCTGCCTTTTTGTTAAACCCCAGTTTTCTCTTCCTTATGTGCTTATCACTTTTCTTTTACTTTGTTTTGTTTGTGAGTTGCCCTGAGTTCTCTCTGAAGCTTTTACCAGTCTGTACAGAAAAATCTGGATGATCCCCAACACAAAACAAAACGCAGAAACAAAAAGGCAGCTCTCCCCTACCAAAGCCCATTGAATGATTCAAAATAAGAACAAATGTACAAAGAAGTATTCTAGCTTACACAGCAGAGGAGTGCGGCAAACAAAAGGCCCAGAAGGGCAGCTTCACACCTGTGTGCAGGTGAATGCTGATTGGACTGAGACCCAGGAAGTAGTTCCCGATCATGGTTGGGCGGAGCCTACAACAGGACAAAACAAGAAAAATATCCACCTTGGGGAAGGAACACCTTTAACCTAAAACATTTGGGTGGCTTAGTGCGCATACAAGGATTTTTCTTCCTCTCAGATGAAAACACAGAAGCATGGCAGGGGTGCAGTGAGTGAGTGAAATGGAGTTCTTTCTGTAAACTGAGGCCCCGTCCACACGAAGACGAACCCTGGCCTAAACGCACAAATTTTTCACCAAACCAGCCTCTCATCCACACGAAGCCGGCGTTTCGGGGGTCTGTAAACGATAATTTTTTTATTCACCCTTCAGAGTGGGAAGATTCTGAAACGCCGTATTCGCGTTTCCATCTTTACACCCTAACCGCATTTTTTTTTTTTACACGCATGCGTCATAGCGTCGCCTCTAAACACGCAAGCGCGACACATCACAACAACAATGGCGCCGTTGCTGCTAATGCTACTCACCCTGCTGTCGGGCTGGTCGGGCTTACAACAGAATCTTCTTCTGGAATATCTCCAGGAAGAACAGAGCAATATCGACCACATAGTTCAGCACCTGAATTTGACTTAACCACGAAAATAGACCCGCAGGGCAACCATGTATAAATATTAGTGCGCATGCCCAACATTTCGCTTATTTTTGCTTTGGCACCACAGCGCCACTTACAGGCCTGGCATACATTTTGCAGCGTTTTCATGCATTCGTGTGGACGCTCACATTTATTTTACGTCTCCGTCTTTACGGCAAACGTTTTGGAAAATATCAGCGTTTCGTGTTCGTTTTGACTTCGTGTGGACGGGGCCTGACAGACTGTAGTAGCCACGTTTTCTCAGCCATGTCTTTGTCCAAATACGTTGTCGCCTCTTCTTTTTAGGGCTTTCAGCACAAAAATTGCACAAATTGCAATTTGTGCAATTTTGCATTATCACGGTTCCTACAGCATAAGGCAAGTTAAATTCAAGACTTTAAGACTTTTTAATGCCACTTGAAATAAAAATTTAAGACCAGAAACAAGAAAAACCCGCTCGCAACAACTTAACCCAAAGGTTTATTTGAACATAAACCACTGCACTGATGTTTCAAATGTTGAAAAGCTTCCCATACAGGAAAAAAGCTAAAAACACACAAATGACAGATATATTTTAACAATTATTTAACTGAATTCACAAACTTTGTTTTACCAGGGAACAAAACAAATCAGTTTTAAAGCCACAACATAACCAGTGCTAAGTCTTTTTAGCAGCTATTTTTCTTTGTATGGTTTTCTTAGTATGTTTGATTTGGTGATAAGTGGAGGCGTTGCAGAGACAAGGGTGGAACTAAACTGAGAAATACCGGCCGTTTCTCTGTAACTCCATTTTGACGCTTTGTGTTTCGTGCTTCGCATGTGTGACTCCACTGCCTTAATTCCCATCGTTCCGAGCTTGAATCGCTTCTTGCACTAAATCTACTGAGCCTCATGTATGTTCCCTGGTTTTAGCCATGGAGAAAACTCTTGGCTGGATAGACATTTTTCGAGATTTTGGTTACATTTACACTTGCTTATATTTTCCAGACAAAAGTTAATGGCGCATCTCCCAAATGTTCCAGCCGCAACAACGCTTTCATTGATTCCGCTATCGCGATGGCACCAAAAATAAATCATAATACAAATAATCGTATTTATGATGTTTTAAAAATTAAGAACTACGAAAGACTGATTTAAGACATTTTAATACCAATTAAGGCCTTAGTTTTATTTTGAATAATTCAATGCCTTTTAAGACTTTTTAGGCATAATCAGGAACCCTGATTATGCCTCCTTTTGCATTATTCAAAAGGAGGCCTCGACACTTTCGTCTTTTTCCTCTCCTACTCGTATGGCTTCTGGATAGATGAGTCCGAGTAGCGCCATCTCACTGCGGAGCTGAGTCCGACATGTTTTTTAGACATTGAGCGTGAGCAGATAGATCGCATCAGAGCATCGGGTCGCACAGTGTGAGAACAAACACCGTGAGCTGTGTTACACAAATCATGTACATATAAAGTAACTCTAGCCAGATGTCAGTTGATTGATGGGGCCCCAACTAGCCTTTTCTGAATCTGTTAGGGATTCTGGAGGATTCCACTTTCCTGTAATCATGTGGGCTAACTGGAGGGAAATATTAAATCTGTATGGAAGGAGGCGGCCTTGAACCATTGGATGTTTCTTAAAGCCGTTTCTGGTAAACCTACCTGTTTTGTTTTCTTTCGTTTTGTATATTTTCAGACCAGATAGATGGATCAGCCAACCTTGGGTGACATTCCATGTGTGCAACAGTAGCGAAGGGGAAAACTGGAAGTAGGCGCCAAAAAATACAAAGTAAAAGAAATGAATAAAAAAAGCATAAAACTGATTGCAGTCTGAAATAATCTTATTCAACATGTGAGTTTTTTTGTATAAAAATCGTCTCACTTAAAGATTAAAATTTTTTTTAATGTTTATTGAACAAAAAAGTTTTTCAAAGATCATGTAGGAAATACATTATAATACAAATGTTGCACAAACAAGACAGAAACAGTCTAGAAAAGGGCATGGACACGAAGACTGCGGAGGGGGGGGGATCATACGGCTCACCAGAACAGATAAAGAATCTGTAAAGGTGATCACCCAACACTGATGCAGTCTCAGTTAAAACAGGGAAATAGATGTCGTCACAGAAACAACCTTAGTTTGATCTTTAAACCAATCGCCACCTGCAAATCTTGATTTTTATTTTTTCTACCATTCAAATCCTTTCACAGAATTAGAACTGCAAATACTTCAAACTAGTTTTATGTACCAGCTTTTTTCTGAACCTTTCAAACATGGCTGAATAACCCAAACAAATAAAAGCTTCAGAAATGTTACTTGAAAAGGTTTTTTTTTTTCTTTCACAAAGCTACTTTCAGTTTGTGTATAAGCATTTGGGGGGAAAAGGATTGCTTAGGTCTCAGAGCCTGGTTCTGTACCGATGAATACACAGAGCTGACACAGATGACATGACAATGGACTTCGCTGGTTCCTCACAGTATAAACTCTTTGAGCAGCATGGACAACAGTTTGTCATGCTCACCCCAACCTGTAGGGGGCAGCAGTGCTGACACTGCCTAAAGAGAAGTCGCTGCTCCTGAATGCATCGATCTGAACTAGACATTAAAGGAACGGACATTCTTGGACCAGCACCAACAACAAAAGTTAGCACCTGTTGCACAAACCAGTGTAGACTCAAAAAATTATTTATTTTTTTATAAAGAGATCTTAAAATTATCTAGATTCTGCAATCCGGCTGTCTTTGTGTGCAGGACCAGATATATGGATCATTTAGCTCAGGGCAAAAAGGAGATTGGAGACAAGAATTGATGCAAGCGTTTTTTTAAAATGGGAATAAGAGAGCGTAACCCCAGAAAGTGTTAAAATCAACTGATTATTATAAAACGCTTGCAGAAACTTGGAAAAAAAATGATCAGACTAATGAAGAATCTTAGGAAACTTAACCCAGAACCGATGAACTGAATATAAATATTCTTAGATCTCCTCAATCACAAAGCTGGAAACAATAAAAGGCCATTTATGTTTTTGATGTTTTTTTTTTCCAAGAATAATTTCTTTAAGTTTTGTAACTAAGAGTCAAATATTCCCTGCAGTAACATTTAATATACAATGTATTTCTCAGTCAACCAAAGGAACACTTTGTGAATAACTTAACATCTAATTTACGTTTCTGCGGCCCTCAAACCTGTACTACCTCTCAAAGATTGAAAATAATAAAAAAACTAATTAAAAACAGAAACTAAATATTTCCCCCTTCTAGTTGAAATTCAGTAAAAAAAAAAAAACAAGACTTCATTTTTCTTTCTTTCAAGGGAAAAGAGCAGAGCGGCAAAAAAGTGAAAAATACTTACATTTCTAACAAAATGCAGTTCCGTTTAATTGAGTTTAAATATTTTCACAACAGTGGTCCGTACTCAACACCTTAAAGGGCAGGAGACTGACCTATATCTGCGGACGTCGTGTCCAAATGAGCAGCTGGATGACTGGAGGTTTCCGTTAGATTGTGGCATCGACTAAACACAGTGAACATGTACCACCTCAGGGACGACAGACGGGGCTTTTCCAAGCAAACTGTACGTCAGATGCTTCTGTTAGGATCCACAAGTTCCAGAAACTCCTATCGTGAGCCCAACACCTGGCATAACCACTTTTAAGATATCTGCTATGAACACGGCCCCCGGCAGCGCAGAGGCCAACAAATGGAAAAAAACTAAAATCTGCTAAGGACAGAGAGTTTTGGGTTGGGTTTTTTTTAATTCTTCTGAAATCTGAAGTCTCTCAGCACATGGTTGAGAGGTTGGATCTGAATCACTGGAGAAAGGTTGACCTGCAGAATCTTTTGCGCTTTCCTGCAGGCCTCGGCTACGGACCGAGAGTCATCCACTTTTATAACTTTCCGCCTTAAATCTTTCTTGTCCTTCCAGCTATTCCTTTGCCTCGCAGAGCCAGTTATTCCCTTGGATCCAGGGACTTCTTGGTGGAGACAGTTACCCCTCCAGCCGTTGCTGGTCAATTCTGTGTGAGTCTGTGAGAACCCCCGACCGTTAGCATAGAAGACCGGAGCCGAATCCCCTATGAGAGCGCCATCCAGTCGGATCGGACAGGACAGACTCTTCTGGCTGAACAAGGCCACGGCTTTAGTGGGTGCCCCACCGCCGTTCTGAGAAGGCTGAGAGGGTATTCCTGATAGTGTCATCGGGTGCGTCTGCGGTGAAAAGGTAACGGCGGGCATCTCGGATTCCCAAACAGTTTGGATCTGGAGTCTGGCCGTGTGGAAGCCAGACAGACCTTGGATACTGGTCAGTCTGAGGCACGGCTGGATGTCGGCCTCTAACATTTCTACAGTTTGCATGGGTGTCCTGCTGCAGACGATGGCATGATGGTCCATCAGCATCTCTGGAGGCCGAATCCCTTGAATCCTTGGGTTGCTCCTCTCAGTGGTGTTCCAGGATGGGTGCACCTCCCGCTTCTTGACCTGAGGCCTCCTCTTCCTCTTCTTAGCAGTGGGTCTAACATTCTTGTTGACCAACTTGAGCATTTCTTCAGTCATGGGAAGGCTTGTGCAGGAGCGGTAGCAGTAAACATCTTTGCTCCGCAGGATGGTGGGCTTGTGACCTTCCTCACTCAGCTCCTGGAGGAAAGTCACCAGCTCCTCGGTGCTCGAGAGGTCTCTAGACATGGGGCTAAGGATCTTCAGAGCATCCAGAAGGACATTTTGCCCGGCTGACGAGATGCGGGACCAGGAGTGGACAGCCTTCCGCTCCTCATTTGTGAACGCCAATGGCCGGCGGACCATGGGACCTTGAGGTGTGGCTGCCATGTTTGTGAATCTGTATGGGAAAATAAACAAATAAAGCATTAGCAAGATTGCTAATTGATTAAAATGGAGCCATAAGCTCAACCTCAGAATGTGACCAATGTTTACCCATCAGAATCGGTGGACTTTTTACATTTTACAGATATTAACTTTAGTTGCTTGATTGGTGGTGATGCAGCTAGTGACCAAGAGGTTGTATACAGTAATTATTATTTAAAAAAAACTTTGAATGCAAGAAAACACTTCAAACGAGTGAATAAAGTGAATGTCATTGGTCCTTTATCAAGGGGGGCCGGCAAGCAAGTTTGGTTGTGGCCTGTTTGTCGGAAGCATCTTGCTAACCAGTTAGCAACATAGTGCTAGTAGGTTCCCAATGGGAAATTCCATTGGGACCAATTAGCACTAAATTAGTGACTTAGAAACAACACTGTCAAGGAACGCTATGGACAGAGGAAACATGCAAGAGGAGGAGAGTTTAGTGTCGGAGGTCGTGGATGAGTCTCCTCCGTCATCCATTTTTTATTTAGAGGAGGAAAGTGGGGACGAAGATGTTGTGGAAGAGGACGCCAGAAGCTTGGTTTGGTGTAGAAGGCTTCCAGCCGTACATGTTTGAGCCCTTGCCTCGCAACGCTGACAGTTCTGTTAGCTCTACGTCTGCAGAAGACACAGACGTCCATCCCCGTGAACACTGGGACGGAACTCAATGGAAAAGGAAAGGATTCTGATTTCACCGTTGCGTATATTAGCTGTGACATATGAATCAAGATGCTAGATTAATGGCAAGAGAGTAGCTGAAACAACAGCTAGGAAGACAAAAGGTGGAAAATAAAAGTGACGCATTTGTTAAAGGTAAGCTCATTGTTTACATTTTGAAGTTTTCTCTCTCTGGTTCTTTTTCCTGATAAGAGATCACTCAGGACGAACACTTTAAATAACACTTTATAACCTATAGGTATTAAATAACCAGGAGACATGACAACAGATTTTGAAAGAGATTGTAATCTAACTCAGATCAGAGAAGTTGTTTAGGGTTACAGAAGGCAGCTGCTTACCAACCGGGCTCACATCTCATAAAGTGGCCATGATTAACAGTTAAGAGAAGCATTTTATACATCTCCAGTCTGCAAAATCACATCATTACATAACAAAGGTTTGCAAATAAGGAGACATCCATGGCTCCAGCCTTAACAAAAGATTACACTTTCTTCTTAGCTGAAGGACTTCGCTCTCATTCCATTCCCATATCTTTGCCACGTACAAAATGAAGATAATAAATGTATATCTGGGGAATTAGATAAACTACTGGGGAAAACATCAGTTCTGAAACACAACAGGCAGGTAATAATAGGGTGTAATAAACTCACACATCCTTAATTAAGTATCCTAAAATATTAATCTGAGGTATGATTAGTACAACATAAGACCTGTAGTCATCATCAACTAATAATCCCACCCCAAAATGTATGGCTGCTTAGTGATATTGATGACTGTTGGAGGAGGATTGGCGGTATCTGGGTCAATCCCGGCATCACTGTGTCCAGCATTGCTTTTGATTTAAGATGTTTTTTTAGAAGCTGGTTCCTCTGTTGATACGATAGATTTGCGTTTTTGATTTACATGCACAATCTAAGGTGGACAGCGTTGAGAGTTCCAGTGGTACGTTTATGCGTTGGGAGTGGCGCATTTCGTGCATTCTGGCGTCCAAGCATTCAGGTGTTGGAGCATCCGAGCGTTCAGTGCTGGAGTTCAGTAAATTGAGCTTTTGCCACTGGATGCAAGAGCGTCAACCGATCAGAAAAGCTGAATCAGGAGTTTTTCGGGGAGACAGACACTACCTGCAAGCTCTCACTGCTTCTGCAGACATTCTGCATATGAAAAATAAAAAAATAACAAGGGAGTTAAAACTCCAAAGGTTAAAAAAAAAAAGAAAAGAAAAAAACAGACAGAGACCTGATCATTTAACTTTGTGCTGCAAGCTGGATTCTCGCGAGAAATTAGTTTTCAGTTTCACAACAAATATGCGATCCACCACCGGGTCGGATCAATGACGTGCCAGCAGTTTTTTGGGGGGCGGGACATGTAGGAATGACGACAGGCAGAAGGGCCTTGCTGGAGCATTACAAACAAGGCTACGCTGGAGGACTTACCTGTCGATTACACTATTGACTCGGTTTTAGCTCAAATAGCGACAGTTTCTCCTTTAAAAAAAGGAGCAAAGAGGAGTACTTTGTACATAGAAAATATGTCTGCGCTTTTCTTCCAACAGGATTTCGAGAAAAGTTTGATTTATCAACCAATCAGCTCAAAGTATTGTACTAAACGTTCCTCTTTTTCACGGACAGACTGAAGATCAAGAAATCATAGATAGATAACATAGAACTACCCAAGTTAACTAGAAATGTTAAAACGGAAAAAATATTCTATTGGATTTTTTGGTACTTGCAGTTTTTTACCACAAACCCTAAAAACAGCAGGAAACTCCCCACAGGCAGAGAGCTCCCAGTGGGGATTTTCAGCACTACCTCCCTACAGTATGTTGGAGATCTGGCACTCCAAACAAGAACTGTTTATTTTAGTTGGATCATAACCCTGATGAACTGGCTGCACAGATAATGTTTGGAGGTGGACCTTCTCACTTAAAAACATTAAAAGTATTTTTCCAACTCAAAAGAAAATAAAGCCAAGCTGGATTCTAGCTTGAATCTACAAAACAGACCAGATAAACAACCAGAGAACAGAGCATCCAGAACGTCGTAGCATCAAAGCACCTTGACCAAAGATTCATCTAGGATCTGACCCAACATCAAGATTTCTGATTCTGAGCATTTTGAAGAACAAGAAATAAGAAGAGGAAGAGCGAGCTCCAGTGAGTAGCAGAGATGTTCTTCTGCATCTAAATCTGAAAAGACTACATTAGTAGCTACACATCCCTTCGGGCAAGTGACTTTCACATTTCATTTGCCCAGAAACAATTTTTACTTGCCCAGTATAATGTTTGATAAATATAGTTCCTAATATTCATTTTTGTATATATATCAATGAAACATGTTTGTTCTTTAAATGTTTTTTGTAATTCAGTATTTTTTAAGTTTCCAGGTTCCTGGTGTGTATCTGCATGCGTCAGATGATGAACTCAAGCCTACATTACCGTGTTAACATGCTTTTCAATCCTTCCTCACATTCTTTTCAAACTAAACTTTGCTTTAAACTGTTTATGTGCTTGGAAAAAGATAAATTGTAATGTTAAAAAAAAAAAAAAAAAAAAACTTGACAGGTTAAAAACTTACACTTCTACTACTCACCATTTTAACATGTTTAGCTCTATAACATTTAAATGCACCACTCCAATGTCTAAGAGAAAAACATTTAATGAACATTTTTTAATGTATGACCTGCATCACTGTACAGAAGACTGCCATATGATAGAAATAGTTACACTGTGCGCATACAGTTATTATTTACCTAATCCCTGACTGATAATTTTTTAATCTAGCGTGTATTATAGTATAGATTAAATTCATCATCCAGCTGCTGCTCTGCAGAATTCTCTCCCCAAGGAGAGGAAAAATCACGCCATCTAGCGGAAAATCACACGGCTTTTTCAAATAACGCGAGAATGTGTACAAAACAACAAAAATGGCACCGGCAACGCTTGTGGGTCGTTTTCAATTAATGTTGGTGATTTTAAAGAAATTTTGAGTGATAAATATTTTTTTTTTTTAAATCATTGCATTTGCCTGGCGGGCAAATGCAATAATCGCAAAAAAATTGTTCTCTCCCGACAATAAAAACTACTTGCCCCGGAAGATTGGGCAATGGTTAACATCGAGCCCATCATCGCCATGATTGTTTTAAAAAGGGAATTTCCCGCATTACAAAAACGAATTTGCGGTGATGGATCAGATGCTGGTGAAGATTCTCAGTCACTTAGGTCATAGTCATTCCGTAAAAGTTTAAAAAAACAATCCACTGGACTTGGTTTCCAAGGTCTTAAAGGGATAGTTCGGTATTTTTGACATGAATCTGTATGGCATCCCCATCACCAGTGTCATGCAATCACACTGACTTACCCCTGGCAGCGTCCTGTGAGCAGAGTTCTCGTCCAGCTTTGGTCAAGCCAAAAGTAGTCCGGCAGGTTTGCTAGACCCAGCGAAATAAAACGTTTCTCTTCCCAAAACATTATGTGTTCAAAAGAGTGATATTTTTGCATCCCAAAAACATTGTAGTGGAAAAAGTCACACGTCGTTATCACTTGGTCCTATTTTCTCTCTGTTCGTATCAGTGCGCGCCGTCATTCAGACAGCTAGGGCCTACTAACCTGAAAACAGCCAGATGCATGTCTCCCTCCGCCCAGCTAGGAGCTAGGCGGAGGGAGACATGCATCTGGCTGTTGTTGAGCTATGCAAACATGCATATTGAAACTGACGAGTGGGTTGTTTGGTTCCATTCTTAGCCTGTGATATCTGAAACCTTTCTATGATTTTGAGAGGTCGGTCGTTAAAGGGGGGATTGTCACCTGTAATACCTGAAACCTATCTAGGATGATGTCTATGATTTTTGAAAGCTTCCTGGTGGGGAAGTGAAATGTCTTCAAACCTTGGAAACAAAGTTCAGTGGATTGTTTTTTTAAAACTTTTATGGAATGGATCAGATAATGCGTTATTCTCGTGGTGAATTTCAGGCCCTGCGACAATGAACCCTCGACAGCCAAGCACTCAAGGTGATTACAACAACGAAACCAAGGTGAGAGACACAGCTACAGGGGTGTGGTTTATCTAAAGAAACATTTCAAATGACATTACAACAATTTTTGTTAAAAAAAAACCTTTGGACTGTCAGCATTCTTACATAGACTGTGGAAACTTGCCAGTAAGGGCTTCAAGCTCCTAACAAAGTTTAGTCCAAGAAGCTATGTCACCCCCAGATTTCACATCCTCCACCAGCGTTCCGCCCCGCTCACGTACGTCGTGCGGAGTACTTGTAAAGTCATGTTAATCAATGAGAACTGTTCCA